GATTACGTTTTTCTATATTGAACTTCCCAGGATATGAGTACTAAAATTTGGGTTTCTCTATCTAATTATCTATCAGCTGTACTGGAATGAAGTGATCAGAGGAATGTATGAAGGATTTAGGAAAAGAGTGACCTCATTGTTTGCTTCAAATAAATATTAAAGTGCATAACATGATGTCTTATTACACAAAATTTTAGTCCTTCGCCATAGTCAGAGGCGGAGTCAGTATTTGATCTTTATGGGTTCGGAATTGTAATCCTTTTAATTAATGTCTTAATTGTGGCTAGTGATCCTCTTAGATTTATTTTCTCTTTGTTTGGAGCAAAGACATGCTGCAGGATTTTTTTTATTTTTTTTAAATGATTGTGGGAATTCGGGCACTTGTGGGCACCTTGATAATTCTACCGGGTACCTGCTGTTTCCCACCACAAGTACCCGGTAACTCAGTCCACCTAGAATTAGAGTTTATTGCCCCACTGGGATTGAACCTGATACTTCATGTTGACCACAAGGCCGTGGCGCGGATAATGGTTCTCTTTCCTGTTCGTTGACCACTAGGCCGTTTGGTGCGGGTAGGTTTGTGCTGAGTATTCATATTCTTGATCCCAACTAGTTTGGGATTGAGACATAGTTGATAGATGATAGTAGTTTCTCCTGAGTGTTCGTCGAAATTTTGTGGAATGCATTGGGTTTCTCGGTTTTTGAAGCATTATGTCCTTCATTCTGTTTGAGGCAATTGGCTAGGTGGACATATGTTAGATTTTTGCTTCTGCAAAGATATTAATGTGTTTGAGTTTGATGGTGCTGATTTGAGAGTGCAGTAACACTATGTAAATGCTAGTGGTTTCATTGCCATAGTTGAGAAATCCAAAACTTTGTGGATATAGGTACCCAGTCTGATATGCTTTTTGCTTGTGCTAAGTGATAAATAAAATTGTACGGCAGAAGCTAACAATTTTTAGTCCTTCTCCAAGAACATTGGAATACTTTGTCAGTCAACAATGTGGAGGTGCATGTGTATAGTGTTTTGGAGATCAATTCATTATTAAAGGTGATATTGAATCCATTTTTTGTTCCATACGACTCATGTGATAAAAACAAAGCTTTGAATAAAGACAGATTCACGTTTTGTTTTCCTATAGACAATGGAGTATGTGATGGATGGTAGAAGATGTTACGATAGTATATTATCCTTCCCCCCATTTATCCTCATTTAGCACAAGCACATTATCCTTTCCTCTGTTTCTCCCATCGAGATCAAGAGCTTCTGCCACCCCATAATTTCTTCACCTTCTAATTTACACTTCTTTGTTATATTCATACCGGCCAGTAGCTTAAAAATGGTCACATTCGTCAGAAGGTGCAAGTAGAATGTATTGAGGATAACATGAGAGAAGGTCAATTGAGATGGTATGGTCATGGTCCTGCGTCGATCTACGGATGCACCGGTCCATAGGCGTGTAACTGTCGTGGGTGAAGGTGTTAAAAGAGGACGAGGTAGACTTAAAATCATATGGAAGGAAGTTGTCTCGAAAGATCTACAATTTCTTGGAATCAATGCATACTTAGCTAAAGATATAGCACAATGAAAGAATGAGATCCATCTAGGTGATATCTATTAGTTGGTAATAGGTTTTAGTCTTGTTAGTACGTTGGTTTTGAACCTACTGCTTTTCTAGGAGTATTTTGACCTTACCGTAGATTTATATGTCAGTAAAAGTGATAGATAACTTTTATTATTATTTATTGTTATTATTTGTGTGTATATATATTTTTTAAGTTTATTTGTATATATTTTTCACTTCTATTTTTGTTTGATAAATGAGTTTAAAAAATATTAATGCTAGAGAGAAGCCTTTATAGGGCTGTCCGGTGCACAATTTATATGATTGAATGAAATATATTAACCTTTGGGGAGTGCTCGAGAAGGAAGAAAGATACATATTCTTCTAAAAGATGTGAACTAAGTAGCGAGAACAAATGTGAGGATAGTGGAAGAGATATTGAGTTTTTCAGAACCAATGAGTTGTATTGTGTCTGTACTTTTTATTCTAATTATGGTTGAGGTAACTAATAGAATACAAAATGAGCGTTCATGAAGCATTCGTTTTGCAGATGATATTATGTTAATTGACTGAAGTAGCTACCCCTAACAAAGAGTTGGAACCATGGAAAAGTACTATGGAGCATAAGAGTTTTACGATAAGTAGAAGCCGATTGAAGATATTGCAAGTTTATTCTCTATGAGAAAAATGAGATTAGATCCGATTATGGTTCTTAAACGCTGACACTTTAGGCAAACGCTGATCTTGTGAATAAACACACTAAAAATGTAAAGCAAAACTGGATTTCCTCAGCATAACTGCATGTCAGCCAAGATTTGACACTGCTTTTACTTCTTGTGATATGGTAAATTCCTCCTTTCCTTGCGTGATTTCATTAATTAATTTGATGCAGGATAAGGCTGCTTTTGCTGATGTATTGAGGAGGATCACCAAGATACGGAAAACCGATACAACTAGCTATGTTGTGTTACGAGAGAGGTGAATGTTCATTTTGATGTTGATGTTGATGTTTTTCCCTCTGTTTTAATGGAAGAACAAACCTTTTCCGTTTTTTCTTTCTTTTTCTTTTGTGTGTGATTCTTTTGTGTTTCTGTCTCTGTTCTTTCTCTTGTTCTGTATTTGATTGGCTTAAGTACTTTACTCTGTGTTTTGTTGATTGGCTTTGCTTGTTGCATGCAGGCTGGAGTCAAATATACAAGTATGTGGTCTAGCAGCCAAGATTAATCGTTTGGGCATTAATGATTAGGAATGATAATGGGACAGTGCAGATTGATTTTCCTGGTTCTGTTATAAAATGAAACATTCAATTTCCAAAGTGAAGATATCGACCTTTTTTTGAATGAAGCGAATCTGTAATTTTGTTTTTAGATTTTCTTTTATTGGATTGTTTATTCGCTTCATTGAATTTTCAATTGAGATATATACAAAGATTAGTACAGTATATTACATGCTTAATATGTTAAGAGTCACAGTACAGCATATCAAATAAACTAGTAACTGAGAATTACCAATTACTATTATGCTTTAATTCTCTTTACATGATCTTAGGTCAACCTCGTTCATTTTTTGACACATTCAATCATTACAGAGTCGTATCTACGACTGGAGTCATGTCCTTGCTGCAGTCTTAAGTTGTATCAAGCAAATCCTTTTGTTTCTCCTCTATATTTGACAAGACGAATCAATAGGACAAACGACGATGTCATTGGCAACATATCGGTAGAGAGTTGGAGAATGTAAGGAGTTGGGAAAGAAACGGAACTTTATTTTGAGTTTTGTTGGACGTTCAAAACCTCGTACAATGATTCAAGCTTTGCTTTGTTTGTAATAATCTCAAATGATTTTAATAGATAACTGAGCCAAAAAATGCTGTGCAAAGGGTTGGGTACACTCGCAAACAAATGTATTCCTCAGAGAAAATGAAACGTGAATGTGAAAGGATTTTTATGTTGTATATACTAAAGAGTTTTTATATTGCTGTAGCTTAACCACATCTCATCTATCATATTAACTGCCAATTAGTTAATCTTGTAGGCGCAGCATTGTTTGATGCGTCTAAGGGTATGGTCTTGCGGTTAAATAAAATTGGTAAAATTATGGGAGATGAGGGTTCAATTTTCAGTAAATAATAAAATGTTAGATGATTTCTTATCATGCCTAATAATCTTCGATGGGTAGAGTTGATTATATTTCACGTAATACAGTAATCTTTAATAGTGAACCATCAATTGGGTAGCAATACCACACATGGAAACATAATAATGCCACCTAACTGCTGCTTCAGAACATACAAAATCCTTCCAGGACAGTAAGACTTTCCGAAGCAACAAAAATTAAAACTAACCAGTTAGACAAAATTTATGGTAAAAGTTAGATTTAGTTACAACTTACAACCATAAATTCCTATCAAGTCTAATAGGAGAACACTAGGGCGGAAGGACCCTCCAAGTCTTGAATTAAGAAAAGAGTGACTCTATGACCAAAATCCGTTTTTTCTATTTCTTTTGCACAATATATCCCATGTGGCAAAGGTTAAAAAACTAATCAAATGGAATGGAGGCAAGAATGTTGGGGCTTTCAATTAAACCACTACCACATCCTCTTCTACTTCTTCTGCTTCCATTTTTATAGTATATTGGATCGAAGAAGTGGTAATATAGTATACAGTGATGATTATATCCTATATGTGGCCATTAAGATGGACGTCTTGCAGAACAATGCCCTTCAATAGAGATGGATCTCTGATAGACCAGTGAGAAACTAACAACCGCAAAGACAACAAAATCGCCCAAAAATGTATAAAAATTGTGGAATTCATGGCATTTGATGAATTATAGTTGATTTCCTGATTCACTTCTCCAGTTCTCCGAATGGAAATTCTGTGTCAAGCTTTTATGTGCTGCTCAACCATTAGAGTTGAATCCCTGCTCTGGAACAAGCAATTTTAACTGACAGAACTTGAGACATTATCCTTGAACTAAGGATGGAGCATATATTCACGTCAGTGAATTGAGGGGCTATTTTCTAATAAAATCTCAAAGAGGACAAGCATTATTTTCATGTTTTGGAGGGTTCACACTTGACCTAGCAAAGAATAGAGTCATAGTAAACAGGCTGCCTCTAATATAGGTTCAGTCTACTGAGTTTGCAAATTGGAAAAAGGAATCAAAGATGAATACGTGCCAGTGAGTACTGGTAGTCACACACTTCCAAAGGTCAAGAATAACTCGACCTCAGCTCAGTGTCTCCTCTAGGTGTAGATGAGGTTCTTCTTCAAGTTTCTTGTTTCTTTCTTAAAGATGTTCTTCCAGTTACGTAATCATTTGAGTATTTTTGTTACGAGTGCTCTGTTGAATAGCGTAGTGTAAGGTGGGAGCAATAAGCAAAAACCAATTAAAAGGAGAGAACAAAGCAAAAACCAATTCTGAACGGAAATTGATCCAAAGAAGAAAAGGAACTGGCTATTTTTACCATCGAGGAGCTGAAAGATACAAAAATCTTCATGTTTGGCCTTAGTTCCATATGAAGCGTATAAAAATCATTTTCTACATGTTTCAGCAGGTTGAGAGGGCTGAGCCATTGAAAGTTGCTTGTATCGGTGTCCTAGATAGAATGCTGTCAGTATCCACATGAAGCAGACCTGAAAAAATTGCCAAACTTAAGTTGAACATTCAACCTTAATTTCTCTGAGGCTTTTCAATCACTATACAGAAGTGCGCATTAGTGTATCCATTCATCTGGAATCGTATAAACAACGACAATAATTTCAAGACATTTGGAGTAGTGTTGTCAAGAGAAGGTTTTACATACAGGTAGGGCATATAGAGAAACAGTTGATGCCTTGCCATTGAGAGTGCTGAAGAGTAGCTTGTACATTCCAGCTGCTGTAGCATCTCCAAGTCTTTGAACTATCACATCTATGCATACCTGCATAGACACGTTGGTCCCCGCGGAAAAAAAAAGGGAAACAACAGAATCATTCTACTGCTAGGGATATAAAAGAGAACACTTGGCACTGCCAACTATTGCAACCACGACAATCCTTTTGAAGTGTCGTGAAACACTTAAGCGGACCTAACAAAAAGGATGTTAACCTACCAGCTTTGTCGTATCCTCTCGAAAAGATCTAAGAAATGAAAATCAAGAAATCCTACAGACAGGATATTCATAATACATGTAGCTGCTAATACAATATAATATGGAATTATGATAATCTTTCAGGTCACTATTTTGTGACATACCTTTGCTTTATACTTCTCATCCTGTGAGACAACAGTGAAAAGAAGCTCCCTTCCAGGCCTGGTAACTACATATGTGACCACCTAACCATAAAAGACAACAACATATAGGGCTCAATTGCATAAGTGTATCCCTACTTATTTTTTTTTCATTGCAAAACCTGTTAGTTCCCTGTTAAACTAAAATGGCAGAATACCTCATTACCTCCCTGAACTTGGCACGGTTTATTTAGTGCACACTTAAACTTCACATATTTGTAGTTACCTCCCTATACTTGGCTATCTGATAGTCTCGACCCTCCTTGATGCTGATGTAGCAAGAAGTGTGGATACACTAAAGCAATTAATTTTCACACAGTCATATACAATGGTCTATTTGTTCCAATTGTGTATTTCTCCTTACTTCTTTATATACAATGCATATTTTACACTAGTTTTGTATTCCAACGAAACATGGTACAAATCCCTGAAGGGGCGCTTCCTCCTTTACAACTTCTCTTGTCATCATTTTTTTTATTACTTCTCTTTAGAGGTTCGGAAAAAGGTATGAAGAAAAAATACCTTCCTCAGGGTTTCTGAGACGGCCACTGCAATCCATGTAGGCCATACTGCTAAAGCAATTAAATTTGTGAATGCAACAAAAGGTGTGGAGCAAATGGCTAGAGTGACACCAGCAAAAGTAAGGATGCGCCCCTGCAACCACGCGGTGAATAAAGACTTATAGAACTTGTGGCACTGGAGATACGATTAAATGAATCATGTAACATGTGAACATAGAGAAAAACAAAAGAAGGGAACTGCAGTTCAAGACACTAGGAAACTGATCAACTTATAAGACTGTAAATATGTTATCACTTTAAAATTCTACTTAATCTGACTTTGCATACATGGGAACTCATTGGGATCCTTCAAAATACACCACTGATTCACCTGGAACTGATATTACCAACGTGATATTAAACACTCTTACACATCTCCAAGTGACAGATGTAGTTTATATTCTATGGTGGAACTCAGATGAGGAAAGTGGTGCAATATGACAAGAACATCTGGAGAGGAAGAAGCCTTCACCACAGGCTCCATTCAATCCCTCCATCACATTTGAGAGCAGATAGGAGAAATTTTGAATTAGAGTTGTTCAAGTAGCATCGAGAGATTCATCAAACTTTTACAGATTGGAGAAAGAATATGCCCTCAATACCCCCTTCCCCTCTTCCCCAGGTAACACGGACACATGCACAAGGGGGGAAAAGGGATTAGCTTAGCGATTAAAATTTTGCATGTTATACATCTACGCCATACCGTCAAAGTAAGTTGTCCAGCAAGGATAAAAATAGCAATAAAGCTATTGATCTGTGCAAATAATCTTCTTCTACCAGTTGGATCTGTTACTGCAGCAGCAATAACAGTTACTTTCTGCAAAAGAATGAAAAGGTGGGGGGTGAGGCTGCAGTAACCGTAAGCTGGTCTTTCAAAAAGGCGGTCATCTATGTGAGATCAGTAAATCACGTAAAGGCACCACATTACACATGCTTATCCATTCTGTCACTTAAATCAAAGAAAATTCTTATTGTACCTGAAAGTAAAAAAACGAGGAAACAACCGCACTCAACCAAAGGAATAATGATACGTGCAACAAGTAAGTCGAAGATAGAATTAGCTTTAACCCATCCAATATAGCCCAGAGCTGAGGCTTTGCTACAGAAGCTGGCGATTTTGGGGAAGTTGTTCTCTGTGTGAGCTTTGATTCATCCTCGTCCTCTTTGGCTTGATCCATATAAGCTTCTCTAAAACCCAAAACGACAAAGGTTAGAGACTACTGGAGTATAATATTTTTCTCTTAATTATTTTATTTTATTTTTTGGTTTGGGGGGTTTTGTGGGGGGGTTAAGGAAGGGGTGGAGAAAGGAAGACATGCAAGAACATTCACATAAAGCACCTCTATTTCATTGCTAGTCTGTAAAATCCTCTTGCTAGTCAAAAGGATTTTATCTAGTTTGTGTTTGTTGAAGTGTGTAACCATCTCATCTAAAAGTTTAAGTTGTTAGAGAGAACACACTTTTATTTATTTAATTATGTCTTTAACACGCCCCCTCACGTGCGGGCTTGATTCTTTTTTTATGAGCCATACACATTGAAATTCGTTTTGATAATTGGGTGGCGGTGAGACTCGAACTCAGGACCTTTGCCTGCTCTGATACCATGTTGAAGTGTGTGACCATCTTATCTAAAAGTTTAAGCAGAACACACTTTTATTTATTTAATTATGTCTTTAACAGTGTTCAACCAAAGTATAAACATTTTGGGTGTGTTTGGTATAACGGAAAATATTTTCCGTGAAAAATGTTTTCTTGGAAAACAAGTAGTAATCTTATTCATTTTCCGGTGTTTGGTACGCAAATTAAGGAAAATAACTTCTCAAAAGTATTCATAAATAATTTAGATACAATAAACATTAAGTCATAAACTTTCGAACCAACAACCTTTCGAACCCACAAATTTCATAAACTTCTGAACCGCTAAACTTTCGAAACCACAAAATTTCGAACCCGTAAACTTTATAATTTCTAAACCCGTAAACTTCCAAACACATAAACATCCGAACTCATAACTTTGGAACTTGTAAAATTTCGAACCTGTAAACCGAAAGATGAAAAAACTANTTAGGTGGGTGGGTGTGAGGGTGTGGGTTGAGTGGGGAAGGTTGAGAAGGAATTTTGGAAAATATTTTCCCTTCTCTTGATAAGGAAAACATTCATAAGGAAAATATTTTCCAAAACATTTAAGCCAACCAAACATGGGAAAATTGGAAAACATCCCTTCTTCGTACCAAACACACCCTTTATCTAACTTGTGAGGGAGGTATTACTGTTTAGAGAGGTATTCAATTGGTAGTGTAGAGAAAGCACATATTTACAATCATTGGTACAGTGTGTTCTTTAAGGAGTTAAATGAATGGCATCCTCTTTATACTCCAGGACTATCAAACTCTATGTAGCACAGATACAGATATTAGGTTCATGGTAACTTGTGGGTACAACAGTTATCTCTTTTTCCAGTTTTTCTTGTAAAAAGCATTTCCTGCTAGATCAAACACTTCCGTATCCCAAAAGAAAATAAATAAAGGGAGCTGCTAAAGATCTATATCGAACTTACACCGTAACTCAACTAGACTAGGCAAAATTATGTCACCGCAGAGAGAACTTTCACTAATAAAGAAGTGCACCACTCAGAGATGGATGAGACACCAATGCAACAGCAAAACAGGAATAACACCAGGGGCGGATGCACATGGATACAAGTGATGTAACGTGACACCGCTTCGCCGAAAAATTCACTAAATATATTTATAAATGACAAATTAAAAAAGAAATAACAGATAAATAAGGCTAGAATGACAACATTTGACCATGGGAGGTGCTCCATTCCAGCAATAACATTGGATTACTACACAAATGTGTTGACAAGGGTTAGATTCTCCAGCTGTGCTTCATCCAGTTTTTTTTCGCCTTTTACTTTTTTCCCTTTTTATAACTAACACTAAGAAGAGTCTTAAAATGACACTGAACATGGAAAGACAGTTCAGAAATCCAAGAAAAAAAGTTAAAACAAAAAAAGACAAATCAATCATTGCTCTAAAAAAACTTCATTATTAAGGATAAAGAATTTTAAAATCAAGAACTCTTGTTTAAATTTCTCAATAAATTATTAAAAATTCCCGTATCATTTATTCAAGAAAAAGAAAAGTCGTTGAAGACATATATTTTATTAATGTATTTGAATGTTTTTTATTAAGATAGTTTTTATAGTAATTTTTTTCATTTGTTCTCACCTTATTAAATATGACACTGCTTACATAAAATCCTACGTACACCACTGCATAACACTATAACAGCGGGGTAAGAAACATGAGACAGCCATCCAAAGGCTGATAGAGGCTAGAGAAAGAGCTCTAATTGCTTGCATCAAAGGAGCTACCGAGGGAGCTGATCATACAATTAGAGACCTCTCGCCCTAATCTCATCTGATGGACTAATTCTATCGCTAATAAAATCTAATAAATAATACACCCGATCAGGGTAGAACAAGAACAACAAGAAGAAGAAAACCTGAAGGGAGATAGTTCTTCACGAAGTTGTAAGACATCTTTCTTGATCCCTTTTGATGATTGTGCAGCAAGTTCCATGAGAATTGCTGAAACAAGAAGTAAATCTACAAGAACCAAAAAAGGAACTACTAAGAAAATAGAAAGTAAAAGAGCCTCAAAAGAATAAGGAAGCAAGAAAAAACATAAAGAGATACACACGCGGTCCTAACCAAGCCATTCCCGTTGCAAATAGCGAACCAAACAGCTGGCCAAGTGTAGCACCAGCACCAATAAACCCAAACAATCTTAAACCTGACTGCATAAGGAAAAAGTTAAATCATACCTCAAAATTTACTACCATTAAGGCAAGGCACTCAATTAAATCCATTTAACTTCCCTTCTGTAGGAGGTGATATCTGTTTAAACTTATCGAATCAATCGGAGACATAATTACCTCACTATCCATCACATCAATAACTCTAGCCCAAGTTGAAGATATAGTAATAAGATTAAGCAAAGCAACCTGAGAAACAATGATGCAAGAACCTTATTCAGGAGACAAGCATCAAAGAATCGATAAAAAAAATACTATTAGAAGTTATTGCAATAGTTGAGAATTAAAGCCAAAGCATTTACCCAAAGAAACAAGCCAATTCTCACTGACACGTAAAACCACCCACGGTTGCTCCAACTTGCCGAGTTTGGAGTATTCGTGTGACCGACTTCCACTTTTAGTTCCTGTTTTATGGTTGAGGACACAGAGAACAGTCCCTGCATTATTACCATTTTTCATCAAAACAGTTGACTGAATCATCAAAAAGTGGCTGCCAAATTGTGAAGTTGTACCTTGATATTAAATGGTGAACTTCCGGGAGTAGAAGAAAGCCACAAGACGTAGAATGCAACAAGAGTGACCCCAAAAAACCTGTGTATCAAGACCAAAGCCTGGAATTTAAAAAAGCGACCATTACAGATGACATTTAAAAAGATCCAAAACAACCCTAAATCAGTTTCCAATGCTCCAAGTTGGTTTCACCACACAAGAAGGCAGTAAGTAACTGAAGCTAATTCACAGCATTAGACAACAAAACAGTGTGTATAATTTGATATCCTTATGTCATAGAGTGTCAAGATTTTCAATTTCTTGCTTCTCATTAAAAATATAGCCAGATAATTTTGCTGTCACGGATGCATTCAATATTATACCAACTAGGCACAATTATCATTTATCAAATACACATATGAAACAATAAATTTACAGGTACAATAGAATAGTATATTGTGGTCAAATGGAAACCACCAAAAGACAACTACTTCATGCTTAATACTGATGGTGCAGCAAACACTAATCTTAGGCATGGAGGCATAAGAGGAGTTATTCGAAATGCAAATGGGGAAGGGATTGTAGGCTATGCTAAAAGCGTAATAGAGACAACACACACTCGTGCAGAATTACTAGTACTCTGTTATGAACGAGATTGGCCAGAAGACTAAGGTGAAGGGCCAGTTTGGAATATTAGAAAACTTTGTGTGGGGCCCGGGCAAAAAGACTAAGGTGAAGGGCTTATTAAAAAGAGAATCGATGCTGTAAAAAGGGTATGCGTATTGTTGAGTAAAATGTCTGCTTCTCCTCATCTCCCTTCTCTAGTGTCTGTATACTCTCATCCTCATTCCTAGTCTGAGCTTCTCATCCCTTCTTCTCTATCCTTTATATTTCAATTCCGTCATTTTCATTTCATTGTTAGTACTAGCAGTAGTTCTTATATTTTGAGCTGAGTTGTAATCTCATTTCTCTGTTGAAGTAATAGAAAAGGGTGTTTGTGAGTTTAACTGTTAGCTACTGGTTGATTTGGGATCATTATATTGGTGTTTTCATTGATTCCTACTCCATGGATTCCCGTAGTCTTGCCTTGCTACTGCAAATGCATGCCAACTACTCGAGTATGTCTAAGCAACTCCACAAAATCCAGTGGTCTTTCCCGTATGTCTAAGGGTTCGCGACCAACAATTATGCAGGATTCGGCTGTAGAATATGCATCGGACAGTGCTCCTACAGTCTTTATCAGAGAGAGGGATTCTGTTTTGGCTGATGGAAACTCAAAACCTATGGATAATTCCGAAGTACTTACTGAGCTTGTAAATCCGATTGGTAATTCTTCGAACTCTATTCAATTTCCTACCGTAGTGGCTTCATTAGGTTGCCTTGGGACTTAGAGTACCCAACTGGAAACTAAATATGAGGAGGAGGAAAATTCAAAAGTCTATGCATGTAAGGTGTTCACTGAAATACCCGTTAGGGAAATTGCCATGGAAGTTGAGGATTCAGTGGAGTATGATTTCATAAAGCCTGAAATCCAGGTGTTCGACGAAATGTTTCACACAATTTCTGTTGTTAAATGTGATTCCAGAGACCTTGTCAAGCCTGATGAAATCTTGTTAGCACTGCCTTGTATGTTTTCAGCTTGTAGTCATGTCCAACTTATTGGCATAGGTACTGTTACGCGGCGCCTTCCTGAAGTTCCTTGGAAGGGCGACGTAAGGCTAGGCAACCGATGTCAGTACGGTTGCTGTCCGCCAACTGAGGTCCCCTCCGTACGCTAGACTAGATTGTCAGTGCCGTACGGGAAAACCAATGTCATGAGCAATTGAAAGAGAGCAGAAAAGAGAATTGAGAATGAAAGAAAGCTTGATTGCATTGAATGAAAGCTATTACAGAAAACAAGACGGTGTCGGGGGGGAGAGACACCAGTACAGAGAATTGTTTGCTTGCTTGAAAGTTTTGATTGCTTGGTCCCCCTTAATAATGCTTAAAAAAAATAAACCAAAGTTACATGACTAGACCTATGAAAGCTG